AAAAAATGATGAGGGTGGAGTGGTTGTTGCCCTTAGGGTCTTCAGTGGTGCAAGGCAGCCTTTGGAAGCAGTCTCTGCTCACAGCAGGAGGTCCTTGGCACAGCTTACCTTGTCTGTCTTAGGTCTCCATGAGGGTCCTAGCCCCAATTCTGTGTTACGTTATCTTTTGCTTTACAAGCAGTGTGATCCCCACACACCTGAGCCATCCTCTGCCTGGGCTCTGCTCTGTGCTCCAGTCTCTTGTGATAAACAGCGACATAAACATTGCATGTTTGAGCCATGGCAGATGCAACAGAAGGCAAAACGACATCTAGGTTATTTTTGTTTTGTTTTAACTGGCCATAACTGTGTGGATATTAAATTGGTAATGTAACCAACCACAGAAGGAAAATAAACACTTGAAGTACATTTATTCACACTACTCTGCCTATCTGAGAAATTTTAAACTTTACTCAATAGGTTCATTGTTAGTAAAAACGTGTAATGTAAACTGTAAGATAACATACGTTATTAAATATAGTAATATTACTAGGAACTAAGCTTCCCAGTGTAAGTGAAGGGATATACATGTGTAAATCAGTGTTTAAAGATGTTAAACTTGTATTGGAAACGCCAGTATGAAATCATGATTTCTTAATAGTTTATTTTCCATCCACTAAGACAGACGCACTATTAGTGCCAAATCTTGATTTCTAAACACCATTCCTTATTAAAAAGGAAGAGCACCCTATAGAAAAATAGCTAATTTCAACCAGGTCCAGCGCAAGGAAAATACCCAGTGTGCTGGGAGTATCTTGTATACCCCAAAACAAGGAAGTAAAGTTGAATAGTGTAGTCAAACGACTCAGCACCTGGGCTAGAAAGGGTCCCCACTAGCCGGACACTTTGAACATCAAAGGAATAACAGCCAAAAATGATTTTGAGGTATTGAATACAATACAACAGATGAATCCTCAGTGATATTCTGAGAAGAAGAAAACTCAAAGAGGGTATGAGAGGTCGGGGAAAAAAAAGA